GTGACAAATGATTTTTCAAGATGGTTCATTTTTGCTGTGATTTGATTTCTTTTGGTTTCACGTTGGGCATTACTTTAGTAAGATAATCAGCTGAATTAATTGCTGATGTTTTGATGCTTCGTAATAATATCTTTACGTCATTCGTGCGAAGTTATTCTATGTCTTTATTTGAATAATCCATCGGAATAACTCGTTTTTATGCATAAGAAAACTGCAGTCGATTAATTTATCTGTATACAGTAAATTAATTTATTCAGATGATTTATAATTACGCATTTAAATAATTTATTCCAGTAAATCTGCTCGCACGAATAATTTATTCGTGTAACAATGTCAGTAATTTTGAACGGCTTCCACCGCCACTGATTTAATGTGAAAATGTAATTTATTCCATAATTAGTTCGCCGAAGAGCAGAGTGCTCTTCGATTCCACGTTTAGAGGGGAATTAATTATAACAATCAGAAAATAATACTATGCAGTAGTGTACAGGAATAAAACAATGCAGTTTTAATCGAACGAACCTTGACTTTTGCATATTTGCTCGTTCTTTCCATTATGACCTATCAAACAGTATAAATCTGCGTTCCACATTATCGTTCTTATCACTTATTTGCCGAAAGATAACTAACGGAAACAGCTGGCGGAGTTCAAAGTGGACCAGTAAAGAGTTTAAAGCGCTTAGGAAAAGGCGTTCGGACAAGTGTAACGCTGTTACCTGGAGTCCCCTCGCACGCGCTGGCCATCAAAGCTTTAACTCCGCTTCGATTCGACTTGGACGTTTCATTTTCTTTCCAGCGAGCATGACGGGACTTCCGAGGCTGCTTTGAAAAGCGCCACCGCGGTGGAACCGGAAGGGGGAGGTACAACGGCCGGACGTCAAACGGACACCTGTAAGTCTCTTAATTATCGGACGAAAGTAAACGATCTCTCTTTGTCTTCATTCGCGAATAAATAATTGCTGGAGGAAGGAGACAAAGAGAGGCGATAGTCCATTCTTCAGTCGCAAAGCCCCAGGGACTCAGAGTCTGGGATCATTCCGACTGACTTGTACCGTTCATTTCACGTTTATCGTATATCACGTAGGCGAACCTTGTTTCAAGATACGTGCTGGATAGTAAATAGAATTCTCCTGTCTCGTAGACTATTTCATTATTCTTATATTCACGTGTTTTTACGTGTGACATTTTCCTTATCTTGAAGCGATTGTTCGGGTTTGAAATTAGTAAAATGTAACTTACTAGGTTACAGCACATTTAACTTGATTTATTTTATACGGACTACCAGCCAAAACTTTCAGCTTATTTATTTTGACAAGAAAGGAAGTGTTTATATCTTTGTATTAAATTATTCGATTCTTACTTCATATTTATTTTAAATTAAGACTGCGATAACTATTTGAATTCTTGTCGTTGAAATAATTTCCTTCTTTTTCCCTAAGAATTTCATCATATAAACACAAATATACTCTGAACACGTATTGTTATCCTTTTCGTGGTGGTTCTTGGTTAGGTCCTGTCAAAGTATAGAGTACGTGAATAGCACATACATTAGTTCACAAAAGTATTTAGAATCGATATATTTATAATGGAATTTTTGTAGTCACATACATTGAAATTTCTGTATGTATGATGCTTAGAGCACATGCGAGAACAATGTGTATACATTTTATTGAAACCGAATAACACACTCCTGAGATATTCATTTCTATTACAAATATACCTATTTCAAATACTTTTGTAGACCAGTGTACAAGAAAATCACATTAAAAGACTCTTACGACAACTACTCCTTGTCAAAGTTTCATCAGCAACTGCGAATGTCACTTCGATATATTTCCCTTGTTAGCGTCGTCGCCGTCGTTATTCGGTTTACCGTTCCCGTGAGTCGCCTGCCTCCCCCCGCGCCACAATAAAATCTTCGTCAAAATGAGATCGTAACGCGAGCGGAATCGTGGTCGCAAGAAGTCGAAATTACTTTCCGCTCGGTCCGGCGTCTAACGTCCGCGACTGTATTTATTCAACGTTGACTGCGACGCGTTACGCCAGGTCCGTCGCGAGTAAACCCAATTTAACGGACCGTTAAATCGATCAGGTTTATTATGAGATCGTGTCGGCGGGACGGCTAATTTGATCGATGTCGCGGTAACCGGCAGGAATTCGGTTCCTGAAACGACGAACCAGCCGCGGCCTCGGGATCGGAAACTGTAACAGTAGATTGAAAGCGATTAACCTTCTCCCTCGACGTTGCTCCGGCTCAACGCTAGAAAAACTGCGAAGCACCGAGCGCCTCGTGTTTGTCGGGTAAGGTTAATTCGTTTTCGCGTATCAGGAGGTCGTCGCTTGTTAATCTATTGCCGAAAGTTCTTCGGGAACGGGTAAAGTACCGAGCAAAGTGAATTAAAGCAGCACTGTTGCCGAAGTAAGGATTCTGAGCTTTATCGTCCGGCCTCAACGGTGTACCGGGAGCTCGCGATTCATGAGCATACACCGCGCAGCCCGAAACTTTTGGAACCATTTCTGCGAATCGACGGAAGCAGAGATACGTAGATTGTTGAGTCAACGAACTTAAGTAACTATGATTAACCGAAGCGGGGTAGGAACTGGGGACCCTGGTGACTGTTGTTGAAAATGGATGCTTCGCATCATCAGGAGATTTGTCAGCGGTACTGCGAGTTAGCACTGCATTTGCAATTTTGCATTATGGAAACATGATTCGCTTTTCGAAAATCCGGGAACAAGATTTCTAAATAAATACGTGTCTCGTACGAAGTCGAAAGTTGTGGAAGCTAGTATAAGTACAGGTTCAATTAATTACCTAATTGGATCTGGAATTCAATGTTAGTCTTACGGAAACGAATGAAATTGTACGGACGTACCTTCGAATTATGTATTCGTATGTAAATTTATTATAAATAATATTCGAATTATATATCGAACATATATATTCGTCCACCTACGTGATTTAAAGCTGTCCTAGGTTCGTAAAGGGTAAAAATCGGATCGAGATCGAAATGCTACAATCTTGTTCATTATTTACCGTTACCGACTTCAAATCGCCAAGATATAATTCCTAGTATCAGATCCTCCAAGTGTTCACGACTCACCTAGTAGTGAAACGTGTTTCGTCGTCGAGGAACACGTGCGACAGCTGTCTTCCATAGCTCTGAAAATGTCACGAGAGTGAAATGTCTTTTTGTAGCGATCGTTACAGGACGTTTCGATGAGCAGCGAGGTAACGACGTCAGTCGTTTGACTCTTGAATATCCTGGTGTTGAGATTACCTCGGTTTCGCGGCTTATGCAGATCCTGGCAACGGTGCGATGCACTGTGTCGGTGTTATCTGTGCCCGCCGGGTGATCGTGGACACGGGAAATCGATAAGACACGCGCTGTCTCGGACCACGTCGACGAAACGCGGTCGCCAAGGAGGACGCTCCTTCAGACGTCTGCGACTCGAGAATCAAAATTTTATGACGGGAAGATCCGGCGTGCGACACTCTTTAACTCGACGGATCGAATTGCGGAACAACGCGGAAGTTTCCGAGTGGTAGACCGAATGCGAGAGACGTTTCACGTGGACACTGCCATTAGAAGGATACTGTGTTTCTCGGAAGGTACCTTCAAAGACTTCCGAAGTCCCTGAGAGGCTTTAAGGGCTTCTAGACTCCGTGGAGGATTCCTGCGAAGATAATGCGATCTGCTGGGAGGATCTTCGCGGTCAGAGTACTCTTCTGTGGGTCACCTGTGAGATTTGTGCAATGTATTGAAGAAAATTTCAATGTTATCCCTCTGCACCCCGCAGTTTTTATCTAGGAATATTCAATACTTTGCGATGAGATATAGGTGACATTCTTTGAAACTAATTAATGGGATAATATACATAAATTAAGGAACAAAGATATTTGATTTTAATGTTTCACATATTGATGGGTTATAGAAAGCTTAATATTATACACTAGACTTTATAATTTTGCTACATCAAATCAAGTAGTGACTGAGAATCACCCTCGACTGCGAAGATTTAATACTTTACAGTTTCACACATGAATTATCATAATTTTAAATAAAAAACTATTAAAAAATAGAAGTTGATACTACATGCTGTGAGTATGATTAACCTAGCAGGAATTCCGCAATAAGTAGGGTACGGTGCAGTCTTTCAAAGAAGATAACTCATTGCTTTCGCAAAATCCTTATAATATTCCTCTCTCACTGCTAAACAATGTTAACCCTTTGCGCTCGACAGTTTTTCACTAGAAATATTTTGACATTCGATGATGAGATACAAACGATATTTTGTGAGATTAACTCGAAGAAAAATCACACGTACATCGAGGAACAAAGCTATTTTGTTTCAATATTTCTGAAATTATACGTGGTGTAGTATTAAATATCAAATTTTATAGTTTTACTGTAGGAAATCAAGTGGTGAGTGAGAGTCACCTTTCGAGTGTAAAGAGTTCACAGAATCTTCATTTAATTCCACTCGCGACGAATACGTTAAACAAAATCAGCGCGCGCCGAAGAGGAGCCAACGTGAAATCGGTAAAACTCGGCGTACCAGGATTAAACAGAAATCCATTTGCCATACCACGAATTCAATCCGTCTCATAACAAAACAAAAGCCCTGCCGTAGTCCCATAAATATTTTATAGGAGCGAGTTTCGCATGCAAAACCCATCGAACGCATCAAACCCATTACACCAGTGGCCACTGGTCCGTCTAGGCCATGAAAAATACCATTTCCGATCACGTAAACGCGAAAGAGCTGTCCGTCGTTAAATTCTTTCGGCACGGGACAGCAGGACGGTAAGGCGGGAAGGGAAAAGAAGGAAAAAGGAGAGCGAAGAGCTCCGGCTTTAATTTAATCGGGCGAGTGGCGCGGCGGAAAAGTGACGTCGAGGGGGCGCCTGCGCAGCCGTCGTACGTCCCTGGACCACCGACTGCCTAGTAGCACACGTCGACGTCGGCGTCGTGGTTGTCGTCAGCGGTAGTGTTTCGTTTGTCGTAGTCGCGACGCCCAGTGTCCGTGCCGCGTTTCTCGAGCAGTGCGCGTCCACACGTCGCAACATCACAGTTCCTTGTTGTTGTCGTCTCCCTTTGCGTACCCCGCGGAACAATTGGCGATCCCTGTCCGCGACGTGATCGCCCTTTGTGCACGTGACACTGGTCGCCACGCGTGAAGCTTCTCCGACTGAACATCCTCGATCGTTTCCGTCCAGACACGCACATAGAACGAACGTGCCGCTACGAGCTGGTTAATCCTCGATCCTCGAGACGCTGAGAAACACGTCAAGGTAAGGCTGACAGACCACATCAGCGCTACCCTTCGAGTTTCCGAACTTGAATTTACCGGGCGATGCGGCTGCACCGCATCGTCTGGCGATCGAATTTCCAATCAGTTAGGGTAGTTCGTTTTCTCGAGAGGATGTCGGAAATTGAGATAGAGTGTCAGTATGAGGTTGACGACTTCTTGATTAGGAACGATAGATCTTGGGATCTTTGAATTTTTAATGAGACGCTTAGAGGCAGAGAAGTTATGATGCATGTTGTCTTCAAGTATTCTTACTAGTTGAAAGTTCATTGGCGTATTTAAGAAATATATTAATGTAGAATAGATGTGAGGGCTTAGATCTATAAATCTATTTCAATTTTTGGAATCACTGTTTTTAACATCATCATTGTTTGATTGATATGTGATATTGAAAACTTAAAATACTTACCAAAGGAAAGTCACACATTAAAGGGTATCTAACATCGTATGCTCTAGAACTATTTAATTATTCGTTAATTATTCATAAATAACTCGTCTCAATTTCGTTTGACGATAATATCTACTGTACATTTCTAATTCTAATCTAAGATCCGGGGTCCAATCGCTGAAACGACTGGACCAGTAGAGCGTCGAAGATGCGGTCAACCGTTTATTCATGCAACGCGCGGGATTCCGTGGAAATTATATGTTTCGTGAAAAAGAGAATCGCACGTGAATAATTCATGCCCTCGCGGCTGAGCATTTTGCACCGAGTTCGCGCCATAAATATTGCACGGGGGCATCCGATGGTCGAAGCTTCCTGTCATCGTAGCATAGGACCGCACGCGCCGAATTTATATTTATAAGCGTGGCCGGAACTGGCTGCGGCGCACTTCCGTTGATCGATATCAGTGAAAATTGCCCGCCGAAAAATTCCTGACCGCGGAAAAGCTTGGCGAAAAAGGGCAGCATCACGACGTGGCGTCCCTTAGTTTTCCGTCCCGGCGAGCGATCCCATCATGGCATATCGACTGGAGTGTGCTCCACGTGTGCGCCATGGACACAGAATTTTCCGCGTCTATTTGCGCCATCCATAAGAGAAAATTTCAATGGTGCTGAAAAATCGAAACATTGAGACAAATTTCAACCCCCTTCTCGGTAGCAGCCCTTCGTTTCAAGCGAAACTCGTTGGAACTTGATCGCGGTTCTCGCGGGCACATGTTAGAAAACGCATATGTTCGAGTCACGCCTGCTCCGGAATGAAACCGGGACAAATGGCGAAACGTAAAACATGATATTTCTTACCGAGAAACGATTCCTCTTCATTGAGTGACACTTGTTTTTTTTTTGTATCTTGATGAGTATCGGTTGTAAAAAATATAAGTGGAGCGGCGTGGCTGAAGCGTTTGAGGTACTTCTTTAGCTAAATGATATTTACGAGAGATGTGCTCGTTTTTTGGAAATATTATTGATGTAAGTTAACGCGATGCGTTTTAAAAGTCAATTTTCATAGTTTGATTCTTGTAGTTCATTCGTAAAGCTATTGTACTTCGTATGGAATTCACGGAATAACGGTTTTCCGCCGCAGAAGCACCGAAATTCATGTTTAAGATGCAAACGTGCTACATGTATATGGAAAAAAATGGCCGACCTTGTTCTCCGGCTCATGGATCTTTTTGTCGCGGAGCGTATTGCGCGAAACATGCACGCTCGGTCATCCCACCCTCTGACTTTCTTCTCTTGTCGCTTTCTGGGTCGTTTGTTATTGTGTTCGCGTCGCGACACGCCGCGTGCGTGTCCCTTGTCGCACGATTCTTTTTTTACGCCTTTCCCGTTCTTCCTTTTTTCTGTTTTCCACCTATTGAAGGGACGTGTATATACTTGGTTTCCTCGTCGTTCGCCGTGTCGTTAGGCGCAGAACATCGTGTGCGTGTGACAGGAGGTTCGTGTCGACCTCGTGAATCAGTTTGACGCCTATAAAACACGTGCACGGTCTCGGCTGCTGTAGACGGCTGTCTTTAACCTCTGAACGACCAAAGCCGTATACCTTTTGTGTTCTGAAAAATCTATTGTGTTCTTGCATATCGATTCATATTGATAATAATTTAAAAGAAATTAAACTAAGCTGTTCCTACACATAAATGAATGTGACTAAGGTGTAATATAAGAAAAAAATGAACAAGTTAAAGAAAAGTCTTCATTTTTGTTAAAGACTGTTTTTGATTAAGAAAATTCTACAATTATATAGCAGTGATATACTTGAAGCTCTCTGTTGCAGTTTTAGATGCACTTAAGTTTCGTCTTTTGAAAAAATAAAGTTTCTTGAATTCTGTTAAATTTCGTTGGAAAATTTAGAATTTAAGTTATTATTTCAATGGTTCCATGTTCAATGTGTCAATGCCCATATACTCCTTGTCAGAGGAAATCTTCGAGGGCGTAAATAGTTTGAGAATCTGCATATAATGAAAGATAAGAGCCTATTTGGAAAATGCAACGGTAATACCACTTAAATGATGAGATGTACTCACGCAAAATGGCCAGAAACGGAAGGAATTATGTTTCTGAAGTCGGATCCCGTAGTCCCGGAGGGACTGAAACAATGTTGAAATCATTGAATTGATAAGGGACGCGTGTCAGGGAGGGAACAGTCAGGAATAAGGGGACAAGGATCGGCGGGAATGGAAATTCGAGGAAAATCGTGGCATCGAGTGGAGTAGCCGGACGAAAGAACGCGTTCCCCAGCTTCGGTTGAATCAGAAATTTATCGAAAGCGGACGTCGCCTCTTGCGCGAGTGGTTACTAAGAAAATTCAAGGAACTTCCAATATCCTGGCCGGGGAAGAATCGCTGGGAAAGCGAGACGAAGGATGTGGCTGCTCATCTCTGATTTTTCAGCGGTATTAAACAAACACTCTTTATCGTGAACACATATTTTTCCTTCTCGTATCATATCGAGTCAGACTGGTTACGAAGATTTGAAACAGAAACTAAGAAATATCAGTATCATCCATTTATTTTATATTCACAATATCTTACCTCTTTATATTTTAAATTCCCTTCTATTCTTCCTTCCGGCAAACTATTAATGATAAAGGAATCTTAATCAACGCGAAATCATGAAGTAAGGGTTTACGATCACGTTGCGAATAATTTATGGTAAATTGCGTAACCGTTATTCACTGAAAGAACAGAATTTATGGAATCCGCGAAGGAAAAACGTCGAAAAACGTAGCAAAATGATGGGAAGCACGTATAAACTGCCCGCGGTAGTATCTCGTGACGGACGCAACAGGGAAAACACGGTAAGGGGTAAACTGTTTATGGACAGAAAAGTGAGAGTTTCCGCGGGGCGAAACGGCGGATCAGCGCTGCCTTTTCTTCCCACCGTCGACGATCGTTTGCATATCTCGCCTAGGAGTCAAGGATCCGTGTTACTCGACTGACAGCCAGTGACTCGGGGCGGAACGAGCTTGGGTAAATATGCAATCGAGTCTGGCGAACGTGTTGACGACTCTCGTGATCGATCGCCGTTGTCGCGCATCGAACCTCAAACATCGTAATCACAACCATAAATTCAGCGGTGTCGGGAATCGTCGGGTTTAAGGTTCGCGATCTATAATTAGCGGACCTCATGCTCGTTTCCAGTGTCGGTTTTCGTTCGATAATCATGGTCGGTGGCTGTGTTCGAGGTGATAGTCACGATTTACGGATTGTTTCTTTTAATTAAACACTGTTGTTTGGAAGTTCGAGATCGCTTATTATATGAGAAGAATAGCTGGATTTTCTAATGAGATAGATGGAAATTAATGCTTCTATTTTTACGTAATATTCTAAGTTGACTTACATAGATATAATAAGGAAGAAACTACAGTTATTGATTTATATTTGATTAATTATTTTATACTCTTTCCATGAAACAACTTCATTCTCATCAATTCAGTTACGTAATAAAATAAGTAATAAAAAATAAAGCAGTGTCTCCAATAACTAGACAAAACTATTGATAAAATGCTCTTTATAAAAGGAATCTAAGGAACTTTATTAATCTACTACAAACAATGAAACATATTATTTCTACATTGTATTTTCTTTCGCAGACCATAACTATTCCAAGTGATTCCAAACTTCCATACGGCACAATATCGAGACATAAATTGTTCGACCGGATTTCTAGACTAGAATCCAAGAAGTATACTTTTCCCCACTTCTTGGTTCAATTTGCTGTTACCTAATGCGCGGAAATTGACGGTGTGCTCATCGCGAGAATACCGTTTGTCTCGCCGATGGCAGAAGAATTAGCTGCCATTCGTCTCTCCGGTTCCCCGAGTTTGTGAACTAATATTCGCGCAGGAGTGATATCACCGGAATTTCTATTTTGTTCATTACCATCCGGCGTCTTAAGATATGCCTTCTCAGTTAACAACTTTCTAATGAATTCGCCCGGCAGACTCCAGTTCGGTGACTCGCGTTTCGAGAAACCGAAATTAGTTGCGTCTCGTGCCGGAAAGAGTTAATTTCTCTGGTCGAACAATAATTAATTCCGGGATGCTAGTTTAGCCTTGCGGTTTTCGCGAGTAAATTGCCACGGTCCCGCATATTTCACCCGTCGAGTTTTTCCCAGGAAAAATCCAGAGTTCTCATTCACGCTCGAGGGAACGCGGTTGTACGCACACCTTACAAATCTCGAAGCGTTCATTCCTTTTGTTACTTATTGTGGAAATCGTTTCTTTTGTCGAGAAAAGACTCGAATCACGATTGGCGAGTGTTAGGAACGAACGGCGATATGCTAGACGCGCTATCTCAATCCCGCCGAGCAAATAAAGAACGAAACCGGAGGTTCCTCGGAGGATGCGGTTTCAGGATTTTTCGGGTTGGAGTCTTCTGAATTCGCTATTCGAGGTCGCGGTCCGTTTTCAGTCACGCCGGAAAGAAGCACGATTTAATGTATAGCGGTGGCTCGGATTGAACTGGAAATGTCACGACCTGTAGCATATTTAAAAGACGTTAAAAATACACGGCCAGAGGAGCTCCGTTCGCCTTATTG